AGTTACTTGTCTGAGATGGTATAGGTTCTCCTGCTTGAGCAGGGGGCTGGACTAGAAGACCTCCAAGGTCCCTTCCAGCTCTATTCTATTCTAGGAAAAAAAATTCTAAGATGTGTAGCATCCCATTCCTGCAGACCCTGGTCAAGCAGCATTTACATGCCATGTCTTGGATAGAAGGAAGTTAACTGCCAATAATCTTTTCTGCCATCCTCACCACTCTCTGCACCACCTTCCTGTCTGAAGCAGTGAAGCTTCCAAACCAGACTATAATGCAATATGACAGGATGCTCTCAATTGTCTCTTTATAGAAAGTGGCAAGGACAGGGGAAGGAAGATATACTTATCTCATGCCATTCAGGAAATGCAGGTGCTGCTATGCCCACTTCACCCATGTCTCGCTGTTGAGTGACCAAGCTAGTCTACTTGTTAGCTGCACACCCAGAAACCTGACGGTGCTAATCCACCTCAAGAGAATCATTAATACACAGAGGTGTGTGGTTGTGCCTGCCCTTTCTGAAATTGACAATGAACTCTTTAGTTTTTCCTATGTTTAAAATGAGGCTGTTTTTGTTACATCAGTTCACCAAACCCTCTACTTCCTTGCTGTAAGTACCCTCATTGTCATCTTGAATAAGGCCCACTACTGTCGTATCATCCGCATACTTCACAATATGGTTGGTGGCAAACCTGGCACAACAGTCTTGGATTAACAGGGTGAACAACAGTGGACTTAGGACACAGCTCTGAGGAGAACCTGTGCTCAAGAAAATGGTGTTAGAAATATTGGTCCCAACTCGCACATACTGGGGCCTATCAATAAGAAAATCAAGAATCCAGTTGCACAAAGGAGTATTGAAACCTAAATGGCCCAGATGCTGAGGAATGATTTGTATTAAATGCCGAACTGAAGTCAACAAACAGCATTTTCACATGAGTGTTTCTTTCCTCTAAGTGCGCCAAGCTCAGATGGAGAACAAGAAATAGCATCCTCTGTAGAGCAATTTGGTAGGTATGCAAACTGAAGTAAGTCAACTGCTGGAGGGAGGCTGGATACAATAATGTCCTTTATCAGCCTCTCGAAACATTTCATAATGATGGATGTGTCAAGCTGTGAGAATTGCTTATGCTGCTTCATCCATTATTGCTTCTTAGCTTGCCTACAGACTCAGGGGGGAGGGGAAAGAATGGAATGTGTTTCACAGGTGCTGAGCGGTTGAGCCTGGGAATCAAGGTCATACCAAATTGTTTATTGGGAACCGAAGATTTCTTCTCATAACAATTGCCTGGGATTTAATTGGGTAATGTGACCTGTACAGTCGGGGGGAAGGGAGTTTCTATACTTTTAATATATTGATTTGGTGCCAATTTTCCAGAGCTGGTTTTCTATTCATCAGTGCTGATATGGTATGCTCAATAAAGTTTTGCATTAAGATTGGAATGTCTCAGCTGTGCTTACTTCGTTGGGATCATCAGTCAAAACAGTGACACTAAACCAGCTCTCAATTAAACTCATTTCCAACTAAGGAAATGAGCCCCTACATAACATCTGGCCAACTCCAGAAGGGTAGTGAAGACTCAGGGGAAGATGCCCGAAATGGAGCAGATGGGTGAGCAGCCAGCCAAAGCTGTGGTGGGGGCAACAGAGGGAAGCCAGATTGGAGCCCAGGGGATTCCCGGTGCCCAAGCAGCCTCCATCTGGCCAAAGGTGAAAGCAGAGAAGATGAAGCAGCCGGCAACACTGGAATGGTCAGGGATGGCAGGAGCCTACAGCCAGCTGAACCTGGAGTATTGGCGAGAAGGGGCATGGAAGGCCTCCAAAGCTGAGTTCCCGCTGGATTGGGTAATATGACGGCTGCAACTGGTGGGATGGCTAGTGCTCAACTGGCTACCTCCCCTCAGCTTGGTCCCAATCCAGGGCATGGAGCTGCCAGCCCTCAGCCAGCAGCCGCCCCACCACCGGGAGCAGCTGGTCAGCAGCAATCACAGGGGCCGATGTATGGTGCCCAGCAGTGGATGTTCCCTTGTGGGATGGGATGGCCTCCACAGCCTCCCCTGTTCAAGGCCACTTTCGACAGAAACCCAGAGAAACTGGCTAAAAAGCCAAAAAGCCACCAAGCAAAGGGAAGGAGAAGCTACAAGCAGAGTGCCAGGTTGTTGAGGTCTCCCCTCCAAAGAGTGAAGGGGAGGGAACTCCGGCCACACTGCAGCTGAACCTCTATGAGAGCGAGAGTGAGGGAGAGGATGACCTGATGGTAAGTGGACCTGTCCACTCCCTCACAGCCCAAGTGGATATTGTAGTGACCCACTAAGGGGTAAAGGGGGGTAGTAAAAGCCTCAATATGATGCATCCAATGCCTGGTCAGCCTACCAACAGCATGGAAGCTGGGGTTGCGAGTGAGGAAACTGCGCCAGCCCATGAAATTTGAGCAGGTTGACAGTTCCATAGTAGGGGTCTGCCCGCCTCCTACCTAACCAAACTGTACATCTGAGATTAGGAGATCATCAAGAGACTATTCAGTCCATGGTTGCCCCTAAAATGGTTGAGGCAGGTTTGGCATGGTTGAAGAAATGAAACCCTAAAGTCCATTGGGGAAAATCCACAAAGTCCGTGGTGAGGGAGATGACAATGAGGGTCCAGGTCCAGGCCCACCCACATAAGAGAGAAAAGAGATGGGCCCACACCAGAAAGAGAGGTGAGGGAGACCCCCGAATGCAGTAAGGCCACGTTGAGCAGGAGGAGGAGCAGCAAACTGTCCAAAGAGAGTACTGAGATCTCATGGAAGTGTTCAGCGAGAAGGAGTGTGACATGCTGCCCCCTCACCACCCCATGGACTGTGCCATCGAGATCTTGCCTGGCGTGAAACTCCCTAAGCTGAAAATGTATTCCATGGCCCCAAAGGAGATGATGGAGTTGAGAGGTTATATCAACAAGAATCTAGCTAGGAGGTTTATCCAAGTGGAAAAATCCTGAGTGATGGCCACAGTACTATTTAAGGAGAAGAAAGATCGGTTGCTGAGATTGTGCATTGATTTTCGTGGGATCGACGAAATGTACGTGAAGAACATGTGTCCCCTGCCCCTCATGAAGGACATGTTGGGACACTTAGCCAAAGGGAAGTTCTTCACAAAGTTAGACCTGAGGGAGGCGTACTATCGAGTGACAATTAAGGAAGGGGACAAGTGTAAAACTGCCTTCAACTGCCAGCTAGGGAGCTACCAATTTAAGGTGATGCCTTTTGGACTGAAAGGGCTCCTGGCCGTATTCATGCAGCTCATAAACAAGGTGCTGCATGAACATTTATACAATTGGGTTTTGGTGTACCTGAATGACATCCTCATTTACTCTGAGACGATGGACAAACACGTTAAACTCGTACAACAGTTGCTGAAAAAACCTTTGGACATTAAGCTATATGCCAAGCTGTCAAAATGCAAGTTCCACAAAAGTAGCCTAGAGTATCCGGGCTACAGAGTGTCATGTGAGGGAGTGGAAATGGACCCAGGGAAAGTGAAATCCATCTTGGAATGGCAAGCTCCTTGGACCCTCAAGCAGCTACAGAGTTTCTTGGGGTTTGCAAACTTTTATAGACAATTCATTCACTCCTTCGCAAAGATTGCCTTGCCAGTCACAGGACTATTGAAAACTGGGGAAGGTGGAGAAAAGCCTCGGCCAAGCCAGTCCTTGAACTGGACGATGGAATGCCAAGCGGCATTTGGAAAATTAAAGGGGCTGTTCGCGGTTGAGCCAATTTTAAAAACACCTGAACCTGGGGGAGCCATTCATAATTCAAGTGGATGCCAGCGATGTGGCCATGGGGACAGTCCTTCTCCAGTGAAACAAAGAGGGGAAGCTGCAACCTTGCACATACATGTCCTGAAAATGAAACAAAATGAAACCGGGTCATGTGGAAAAAAGAAGCCTTGGTGGTGCTGGGGGTGCTTTTGATTTGGAGTCAGCCGGAACCTTGACAGGATGTAAATGCAACTGGAGGGTAGTCATTGAGCCCCGTAATTGTAGACATTTTGGGCCCTGGCAATATAATGGCCATCTTAAAAAAATGGGGGGAACCACTGCTTGCTGCAGTGAAAGATTGAAAGTATCTGTAAGACCACAAGCCAACTCATCTGCACATTCCCTACAAACACACCCAGGGATGTTATCCGGACCTGATGTTTTCTGAATGTCAACTTTCTGCAATGTTCTCTGGACAGAGGTAACATCAAAGCTAAACACTTGCTCATCAGGGTGGGGCACAGCTTTCCTGACAGGGATGCTATTTGATTCCTCAAATCTCCCAAAAATGTGTTCAGCTTGTTTAAAAACTCTGTGTCACCTTTACCACAGGATGGAGCCACCTTGTAATGGCCTGGATGCCTTACTACATACGCCTAGTGTTCGTTGGGTCTGTTTTTGTCTTGACTCAATCCAATCCCAATGCAACCCAATTCTTTGTTGCCACATTTATCCTGGGCATGGGGGACGTCATTCTAAGGCCGAGAGTAATGCTTGCATGCGAGGGCATCCACCTCAGCTGGGATGAAATAAAAAAAGTCATCCATAAAAAAGTGTGGGCTTTTGACTTTTTTGACTGCCTCTACAGACGCTGTCTTCTTCTGCACCCTGTAGATAAAGAAAAGGCAAGTTTCATATAGTTTCACTTGAACCAAGCTGCTGTTTCTTCAGTTAACAAATGTAAGATTGATTTTAGTAAAGTAAAGTAAATAACATTGAGGACCAAGTTGGATTAGAACCCACTGAGGGGTTAACTTTTATTTCCCACTTTGGTCGTAAACCCAATCTGAGTGGTTTTCATCAGAAGCAAAACCACTTATTGGTAAAAGCTCCTGTTAAAGGACAGCAAATTCTGGGCATCAGCAACTGCCTCTGTTATTTCCACAAACTAACAACCCCAAATTTCACGACATTGATATTATTGCACTCCCAGTCCTGGCCAGTCATGTCATTCTCTGTTATAGCCACCTTTCCTTCTCTTGCTCAGGTATAATCCAGCTCATTCCTGCAGGAAAGGAGATCCACAGTCACGGCAGCGGCAGCAGCACAGAAGACCTGCCCCCTGCAGCTAAGCCCAAGGAGCTGAGCATCAGCAGCCGAGAAAAACTCTTAGTGGACTACAATGTCTACATGTCCCAAATCATTCCGGCAGTCACTGACTCCATCCCAAAGCCCTGCTCCAATGTAGCAGACAGCCCCGGTTCCAAAAAGGTGAGGAAATCTTGCTGAAATCCCAGGGAAAGTGAAAGTGAAACTGCAACTGTGTGTTTGATCTTACAAAGGATTGGTTGTAAAGTTACTTTTTCATCACTGTTGTAACTGTGAACAGTCACTGAACAAGGCACTTGTTAAACAAGGACTACATGTATGTGTATATAAAATTGAATAAGTTAAACATTGTATTTTTAAAAAATGTATCAAATGCAATTTTAAGATTAGGAATTGTTTTTCAAAGCTTCTTTTTAAAAAATTAAACAAAAAGTATCTATTATGATCAATGAGCTTTGATTATTCAGAACTTTTATTGGACATTTTGCAAGACACCTATTATTCTTCGCTATTTAGAAGTTGTTTATTCTCTGCTTCAGCCAAAATTGCTCTCTCAAAACTCCCCATTTTATGTCCTCAGATATTCAGTCTTTTAAAATAAAAAAAGATCTATATTTTGATAAGACAAAAAAAACATGCTGCACTGAGTTTAGGGATGCTGGTAAGATATGTGACATTCCATTTGCTGAAAGATTAAAGCTGATGGTACCATCCCCAAGTATTCAGATTTTGCTAAAATATTTTGAATTTTGAATTTTCTGATGCATAAGATAAACATACCATCTTACCAACAAAATAAAATATCACATAATCTCAAGGCAATCTGAGACATTTGCAAAAATGGGGGGGGGGGTCATAAAGGTTAAGATGATGGTGATGGCCACACAATGGAAACTCCACTCTGTTTTTATGTATGTTGTGCTTCCCAACACTTAAACACCCCCACTTATTTTTGCCAATTCCCCTGATTTAGCATTGTGACAACTTTAAAGGGCAGTTAGTTCTCACCAGTGCATGTGGCCATTACAGTCCAATATGATGAGTGATTGCTTTCTCTTTTGTTCTTTTCAGTTCCCTGGGGATGAGACTCGGATCCCCAACCCTCCTACAGCTTGGGTCAATGCAATGCTTGGCCGAATGTTTTGGGACTTCCTAAGGGAAAAATATTGGGCAGATCAAGTTTCAGACAAAATTCAGAAGAAACTGGGCAGAATCAAGGTAAGAAAAGCTGCTCTCCCTGGTCTTCTTGAGCAAACCTCCAGGGGGCAAAGCAACCCTGCCCAGCTGTCCAGGAAGAAGGCTGAGATACCCAGGAGGCATTGCTTTCTGCCTCCAACCGGCAGATTGGGAAACAGATTTGCTCATCCACGTGTTGTGTGCATGTACCTCACCCTACATTCCCACAGCACACGGAGTCACAAATTCACCAACCACGTTTCAGGCTAGAATGCAGCTCAGCACACATGATTAGATTATGGTTTTGTAAATAATGCAAACCTCCCCGGCCCAAATCAGTTGAGTAAATCATAGGGTGCAAACCCAATACTTTCTTCTAGACATTTAATTTTTGGGTGCTGCAGACTGTCTCACCCTATTTAGACCAAGCAATTCACACTGCTTGCCAACCAGAGAGGCTGATGTTGCTGGATGCAGATGGACTGGCTTATATCATTCTCAACTAAAGTCCCCCGCCCTCTGAGTTCCTAGTGGATCACAACAAAGGCACTAGAGACACAGTGCAATTCTCTGATGCTGGTTCCATCAGAGAATTAGCTGGCTCTGGGAATGGGAATGGACCTTTGTGAAATATTGCAGAAGAATAGATGGACATTCCTTTTTTATCTTCTAAATCAGTGGTTCTCAACCTGTGGGTCGGGACCCCATTTGGGGTCGATCGACCATTTCACGGGGGTCGCCAAGCAAGGCTGTCCGCCATTTTTTTTGTCCGCCATTTTTTTTGCCCCCCATTTTTTTTCCCCTTTTCCAGCGGGTGCCTTACCTCCCTTGGGCTGGGCCAGCTGGTGGTCGGCCTGCTCCGTCTCTGCCGCTTGCCAGCTACGCCTCGGCCAGCGCAGGGGGCGGAACCACGCATGCGCAGCGCTCCCGGGCAGGGAAAGTCCTTGACTTACGACCGGTTGGGTAGTCCTCAACTTACGACCGGTTTAGTCCTCGACTTACGACCGGTTTAGTCCTCGACTTACGACCGGTTGGGGTTGCGGCATTAAAAAGGTTGAGAACCACTGTTCTAAATAGTTAGTAACTTTCCCACCTCAAGTCAAGAGGCAGTTAGAAACAGAATCAAAGGCATGAAGGAGATCTTAATGTTCTCTCTGATAAATGAAGGCAAAGTACACAAATCTGATATCCAAGATTGTGTTACCTAATCCCTTTTACTTTGCAAGAAATCCAACATAGGGACACTCTGTGAATCTTGCTTTCTTGTTTGTGTGTGGCTGTTAGGGGCCTGACATTGACTGCATAAGAATGCCAGCTTGACAACAATTTCCTTCCTGTCTTTGGCTTCCCTGATGTTTGGTTTGTTTCTTCTTCCTTTGCTCTCATGCAGTTGCCATATTTTATGAATGAGCTCACCCTAACTGATCTGGAGATGGGGACCTCCATCCCACACATACTTGGCATTTCTAGCCCCACTGTGGATAACCGAGGTAGGTTTTGGTGACCAGCCAGCCTGTGATTCGTATTGCTGCCTTCTTATGGCCCACTTGAACCTGGAATGTCTGGAAGTGGAGAAGCCTGGACTAGCAGGTTTCCTCCAGACACCTCCAGAAGGGAGCTTTGCTTTTTCAAGTTGTCTGTTCCATATTTGCATAGCTGGAAATAGTGGGACATGGTGTGCATGGGAAAGATGGATAACTGAAAGAAGAAATCCAGTTGACAAAACAAGGAATTATTCAGACACTAGAAAAGACCAGCCTGGATATATTCCTTCAGCAAGAGCAGCCACTTCTGAATTTGGAACAACTGTTCCTGTGGGAGGATGGTTTGCCTCCAAGCAAAGGATTCTTGCCTCTGTGGACACAAAACCAGAGTCATACCATCTGTATTTCATGATGTCAGTCTGCATAATTTCTCCAAGTATATCATGATCCACAAGATGTCACATGCTCCCTATGAATGCCTCTGTCCATATATTAAGGTCTATACCAAAAAAAATGCTTGAGTTAAACATGAAACATGAGTTAGGGCAATGTTTCACTTAGCCTACCATTAGGTGGGTTTACACATTATTGTTAGCCATGGTTTATTTAGCCATAATTTAAGAAATAAAGCTATAATATACCAAGTCATGATTACAAATCGCAACAGCGGAGTTAAAGTAAAGCAAACATATGGCATAAAGTGCTCTGTGAAGGCAGCCATCTGATTTGGTGGACAGATGCACCAACCCTTGGTGACTTTAGATGGTCAACCAGAGAAGGGAGGACAGAACTAAGTAAGGATTTTCTGTGTTCAGAGTGGAGCCGTAATCCCTGATGTAATTCATTGGCCTGGAATGAGCATCTTTCTCCTTCCACCAGCCATTTTTCTAGAGCTGTGTTTCTTAAAGTATGGACCTAGAACTCCTGCTCCCCCCCAAGACCCTCTCAGGTGCCCACAAAATAAAAATTATTTGTCAGCCTATGTTGAAAAATAAAACAATATTAAAATGCCATTAAACAATTATGAAAAGTATTAGCAGCAAAGAATGTGCCAATTTTAATTTTTAATACAGTAAATATTGATAAAAATAATCCACACAAACAAAAGGTCTTTTGGGATTCTCCATAATTTTTAAATGTGGAAAGGGGTCCTGAAAAAGAAAAAGTTTAAGAAACACAGTTCTACAATAAACCATACATGTTTCAGATATAACCCAGCCCAGCTGGCAGCAGATCAAACCCCAGAAGCCCAGCCGTGACCTCTAACTCTCCTTTGGCCTCCTTTTCTGCTCTGCAGGGCTTTGGGTGGATCTGGAAGTGGCCTATCAAGGATTCCTGAAGATGACCCTGGAGACCAAGATGAACTTGTACAAACTAGGCAAAGAAGAGCTGGAGGAGGGAAACAAGGGAGCAGATAAGGACAGAAAAGGGTGAGACTTCTTGGAAACCTTCTTTAGCTGCCAGCTGAGCTCCCAGGACAGATGTTCTTCTCCTTTAAGAGACTCCCTAGATGACAGCAACGGTTGTGCCATGCGACAGCAGCTTTGCCGTTTGTCCTGGAACAACCAGCTATAAGAGAAAGTTTGTTTTGCTATTTTTTTTATTTTTAAATATAAATTTTATTGAAGAATTTGTAACAAAATAAAAACAATGCAAATATTAGAAGAGAATAAATAAAATAAGGAATAATAGTGAATAATAAGAAAAAAGAAAAAAGAAGGAAAATATTAGATTACATTAGATCAACTTATAAAAAGACAGCTTTGATCTTTTTGACAGTGGTTGTAAATGCATTTAAATGCATTATATACCTTCTCTATCTGATGTTACATCATAATTTCCTTCTTTCCATAAGCTCCCTTTTCTAATTTTGAAACCTGTCAATCACAAGTCCATTTTTCTCTTTTTTTCAGCAAAAAGTCTACAAGGCATTTCCAGTCACTGATAAAGTAGTTGTTGATCTTTCGCCTATTGAAGAACTTAATTTTTCCATCTCTACTAATTCTGTTACCTTCACCAACCTCTGTTATGGGTATTTAGGAATCTTTCCATTTTTGTACATATAATTGTCTCACAGTACAAATCATATATAAGGATGCTCCTGCGTGACTCTTGTCTACTTGATTGCCCATTAATTCCAGCAAGAGCAGTTCTGATTCCAGTTAAATGTTGATCTCTAAAATTCTTTGTAACGTCTGTATTTGAACCTAAAATGTCTGGCTTTTTTATAAGTACACCATACATGATAAAATGACCCTTCATGTTGTCCACATTTCCAACATAAATTGAAGTATTTTTATATATTCTAGACAATTTTTCTGGAGTTATATACCAACAGTATATCATTTTACAGAAATTCTCTTTTAAGTTATAATATGTAATTTTCAAACTTTTAAATCACATATTTCCCCTTTGTTTCATCAATATTCCGTTCCAAAGTACTTAGACAATTTTACCATATAGTCTTCTACTTGTTCTTCCATTTCAAATTTCAAAAGTGTCTATGTTTTAGCAATTACATATTCATTAGTTCAACTTCTGTCTTCTGCTGCTCAGTTCCAAATGTCCTATTATCTACTTTAAATCTTTCTCTCGTTAAGACCGGTTTTTAGTACAGCAAGGCCTTTGTACATACAATACAATTCTCAAGCTTCAGCTAGGCTCATGAGAATAAACTATATACAGTGTATTTTCTTCACCGGCTAGCATGTCTTCTTACAGTTCTGTAAAAACAATAAGCTCTTTTTCCCACAAATCCCCCCTTTTTCTTTTCACAATCAGTATTGATTTTTACATTCATATTTCTCAAATTGTTGCAACATTCTTCCAACCTCTTCATTCTCGTCTTTCATTTTCCATCCAACCATATAGTCTTTACAACAAATCATCATCATTGGTCCAAGTTGCATACAACAACAAATCATTATTCCAATTATCAATATTAAAATTCCCAACATTACTAATTGTTTTACCCATCCGGCCAAGTTAGGGATCCAATCACTGAGTCTTTTCAAGGGATTTCAACCATCCCTCCCTATGGCCCTAGCCTTTTCTTGTAATTTATTTACTTGTTCATGATGTTTTTCAATTAGTTCACAATAATCAGGTACTTCTTCACTAGTATTATGTATCCAAGTGCAACAACTATAATCAATTTGCTCTGCACATAGTCCACTCACAGCAGCTGCTAAACTCTCTATTTCTAATCGTTGTCTTATCAAGGTAGTCCTTACTATTTTTAATTCTTCACTTAGCAACATTGTATCATTTTGAGTTATGTTTATTATTTCATCCATAATATTGGTGTAATTATTTATTCTTTTCACCATTTCCCATCCCCATCCTGCAAATGAAGGGGCTAAAGTCCACCATCTATCCTCAGCTTCAAACAAATCTTTTTTCCTCCTATTTAATAAATACCTGGGATATTCTGGTGTGAATATATGTGTTTCATCCTGCACCTCCATTACCGGCACCAACGTAGCAAGGTAACACTATCCAATTCTTCTCATGTTCATATATTGGAAAAATTTGTTTTCACAACAATAATAAATGTTATTTCCAGCACTAGGCATTAGCAACACTGTTGCGCCTTTCTGATCCTGCATCCTGGCATTGTTCACAATCTCCAAAGCATTGACATGGTGGATCATCACTAGTCTAATTCAGATAAGCACACAAAGATTTATTTGTGGACAATTGAAATAAACTTCTGGCGACACTTTGAACATTAATCTTATTAAAGGTGTCTGGAGTCGTGGTGACATTGACTATAGTATTTCCACACCAGCCATCTCCAATGGTTAAATTTCCTCTGATGCACCAATCAGGTACATGTAAACTTCCCACTATCTCTTGTATCCATATTTGTTCTGTCTCTCTCTCACAATACAATTTCCATAATGGAAATTTGAAATATTAATTAAAATCTGTGAAATATTAATAGGAACCTCTACCATTGGAATCTTCATTGTTTTCTAATTCAAATGAGAACATATCCAACAACTGGAATATCCTGGCTTCCTAGCATAAAGATATTTCAAAGATAACCAAGCATTGGTTGGTTTGGTATCCATAATTTCCATGTCTACATCATAAAAGTATTCATTATTCTCTATAACATCAGTAGCAGATACAGTAGAAGGAGCAATTAGATTAAGCGGCAGCCTCCCCAAAGTTGTCTCATCAGATCATTGTTTACCAAGATCTGGCTGGCAATTTGTTCAGTCTAAGAAAGATTCCAGAATGTAATCAAATGGAAGATCAGATTTTGTGGACTGGAGCATTAGTGATAAGTGTTAGGAATTCAACAGCTGGTTTGTGTGACACCCTTTTGTCCAACTGTCTCTCTCTGATATGGAAACGTGAAAAAGATAACTAGGAATGATGGGCCAGATTCAGCTGCTTCAGATGGGGAATGTCATAGAATACCAGAGTTGGAAGGGATATTGGAGGTCTTCTAGTCCAACCCCCTACTCAAGGAGGAGACCCTAGACCAGAGGTCCCCAACCTTTTGGGCACCATGGACCGGTTCCATGAAGAGAGGTTTTTCTGCAGACAGGAGAGTGCATGGTTTTGTGTGCTGCCTGCATCTCGCAGATGGTGCTTTGCTTGTTTGTGCGGACTGGTTGCTGGCATGCTGTGGCCTGGTACTAATCCATGGACCGTGGGTTGGGGACCCCTACCCTAGACAATTGTAGGCAAATGTTGGTCCATTCTCCTCTTGAAAGCCTCCAGTGACCTCCTGCTGAGCTATTTAAGATGCCGTTCTATTCTCCAGCCATTTCCTGCCACTGCTAACAAATCCTTTCTATTCTCATCTTCTATGTCTTTCATTGTCCTTAGGATTCACTTCTTAATCTCAGGAAAGGGAATTAAACCAGCAGTGCAGACTGTAAGCCTGACCCACATGGCTCTGCAAAGGACAGATGTTGGAAAGCCCGCCAACTTCTCACCCTGGTCTCCTTCTCCTTGCAGCATGAAACCCCACATAGAGCTGTTGGCCGAGAGTGATGCGGAGTCCTCCAGCGCCGGTTCTTCTGAGGAGGAAGACATGCCTGTTGTGGAACTCTCGGGGATCCCTGGAGAAAGGAAAATCCCTCCTGGTGTTGAAGGGTAACACACACACACCCAGGCAACCAGGGCTCTGTCCCCACTTTCGCATTTAGCACTCCCCAGTCATGACCTAGTCCTTTCCAGCTGAGGAGGGGAAGAACTAAAGCAGCGGTTCTCAACCTATGGGTCGCGACCCCATTTGGGGTCGATCGACCATTTCACGGGGTCGCCAAGCAAGGCTGTCCGCCATTTTTTTGTCCGCCATTTTTTCCCCTTTTCCGGTGGGTGCCTTACCTCCCTTGAGGTGGGCCAGCTGGTGGTCGGCCTGCTCCGTCTCTGCCGCTTGCCAGCTACGCCTCGGCTGGCGCAGGGGATGGAACCACACATGCACGGCGCTCCCGGGCAGGGAAAGTCCTCGACTTACGACCGGTTGGGTAGTCCTCGACTTACGACCAGTTTAGTCCTCGACTTACGACCGGTTTAGTCCTCGACTTACGACCGGTTGGGGGTCGCGGCATTAAAAAGGTTGAGAACCACTGAACTAAAGCCCTTCTTAGCTGCACTGAGGTTAGAATAGCGTTTTCCTCCTTGAGCCAGTCCTTTCCCACCAGAGGACCCGGGGGGGAAACTAGCTTGAACCCCCCCCCATTATCTTGCAGGCAAATCAACTGGGCTGCTTTCCTTGTGAACAGAGGGTCATTTTGGAAATGTTGGGAGGCATTGAGTAAGTGAGTGTTCTGCTATGGCTACAGGTCATGGAGCCAGTTTGCTGTAGTGTCTAATACACCAGACTAGAAACCAGGAGACTGTGAGTTCTAGTCCCATTTTAGGAATAAAATCCTGCTGGGTGACCTTGGGCCAGTCAATCTCCCAGCCCAACCTACCCCACTGGGTGATTGTGGGGAAAGTAGGAAGAGAAAGGATTCTTAGAAATGTTTATCTCCTTGAGTTATTTAGAAAAATAATAAAGGTGGGTGTCATGGTTCCGAAGGAAGAAACTCTTCAAAGAACTTTGAGGCATTGTTTACCTTAAAGAATCTTTAATGAGAAAACATAGCTTCGGCACGTACATAGGCGAAGCCAAAATCTGAATTCTCCTCCACTAAACACATAGTCTCTAAGCATAATTCACTCCTTCATTTAACAGTCATTAATCACATTCTCCAATTAGTTTGAAGTGCAAACTTTCCCTCCAGTTGCATAACCCGCCATTTCTTATCTCCTCTTATTACAAACAACCTTGAAGAATACTCTACTGAGATATTGTTATGGCTGACTAATCCCCCTGCACATTCTTCTCCCTTCCCTCCAGCACCATCTAATTTTAACTCTAAAAGTAATACACAGGTTAAATAGAAAATGTCTGCATCTTCGTATATTGTCAGAGCAAAAACATCCAAAGTTAGCAAAAAGGACAAATCCTGTAATGTAAACAAAAGCATATATTAGGGACTATTTTTCGGTTTGTTGGGGTGTTTCTCATAAAACCTTTTGATGAGTCTGTCAGCTTTCACCTCGTTGGATTTCACCCAAGTGGTTTCAGACAACGGGTATCCCTTCCATTGTACTAGGTACTGCAATTTCCCTTTAAAAATTCTAGAGTCAAGAATACATTTCACTTCATAGTGGGTCTGCCCCGCAACTACGAGGGGCCTGGGTGCCTTCTTAGGGGGAGGTCTTAAGGTGGAGCCCTGACAAGATTTCAACAAGCTGCAATGGAAGACAGGGTGAATTCTCCCTAAAAGTCTAGGGAGTTTTAGTTCTACAGTGACTGGATTGATGATCCTTACGATAGGAAAAGGCCCCAAGAATTTCGGTCCTAACTTCTTACTGGGTAATTTGAGGCGTAAATATTTAGTCAACAGATAAACCTTTTCCTCAACTTGGAATGCTCTTTGGGAAGCCCTCTTTTTATCAGCCTGCTTTTTATAGGTTTCAAAAGTCTTTTTAAAAGCAGTTTTCGTGTTTCTCCAAACTTCTTCCCATCGACTCACCCATTGGTCAAGTGTCTGGGAAGCAGATGGCATCTGAGGGTATTCAGGTATTGGGCTGAACTCTTTTCCTGTGGCTACTCTGAAAGGCGTGTAGCCGGTGCTGCTGTGTACAGAATTATTGTATTTCACCTCTGCGAAAGGGAGGAGGTCAGTCCAGTTTGTCTGTTGGTAGGAAACGTAGCATCTGAGATATTGCTCCACCATTTTGTTAGCGGATTCTGCAGCCCCATTGGTGGCTGGATGAAAAGCAGATGATCAGCCTTGAGATGATCCAATTAATTTAAGAAAACTCCTCCAAAACTTCGCTGTGAACTGCACTCCCCTGTCCAAAATTATTCGCTTTATTCGGTAAATATGTTTCAGGAACAATTTGGTCAGTCACTGGGCAGATGGGAGTCCTTTGCAGGCAATGAAATGAGCCTGCTTCGAGAACAGGTCTATCACAGACCAGATGACAGTATTTCCTCTACTTTCACGTAGGTCTACTATAAAGTCCATAGCTATTTCTTCCCATGGTTGAGAAGGGTCTGCCACCGGCTGCAGTAACCCAGGAGTTTTCCCTAGGATTCTTTTCATTGTGGCACATACAGTACAACTCCTGACATAGTTTTCCACATCCCGTTTCAGCCCCGGCCACCAAAATTGCCAGCAGTTGAGTGGTTTGCCTGGTGACAGTGAGGCAGCCATATGTGCTCGCTCATTAGGTGGCCTAAAGTATCCCGCAACGTCTGTTGAATTAGGGGGCAGGTTAGGCCCTATTGGTAGCCTCACAGTTCTCATTCCTTTCTCCCACCAGATAAACTACATCCATTTGTCCAACCAGGCTAGCCCTAGGATCACCACCTCAGTCATTTTTGGAGCCACCAGGAAGCGAATAAACTCCCAGTGTTCACCTATTTCTAGGCGTTGAGGCTCAGTTAGTTATGTGACAAGAGTCCTTCCCATCAGGGAGCCATCGGCTTGCTCAAACCTCATGGGCTTGGAGAGCAATTTTGCTCATATACCCAATTTCATCGCAAATGGCAAGCTAATAATGCATCGGGAGCATCCACAATCAACTACCACTTTTTAATCTACCTGTGCTCCCGCCTTAGGAATTATTAGTTTGGCAGGCAGTGAAAAAGGTGGGACATGTCAACTCACCATCGGGTCATTCTCTCCTTCATCATCGCTGTCGAAAGAGGGTAGAGCGGGGGTGGATCCAGCCTTAGTCCCAGCATCCTCCTGTGTGGGGGATGTGACTTGGGCAACCAGTTCCTGTGTGATCCAGTTGGATTTTTCTCCATTAGCTGCTGATCAGGTTTCTTCCTCGCTGCAGGTCCCGGTCTGCTCTGCTGTTGGGGGTAGGTAACTGGGCAGTTTGCTGCTCGATGTCCCTTCTGTCCGCATCGGAAGCATTTGATTGGCGGGCCTGCAGGTGGCCGGGTCCTTTCAGCAGACGTAGCCATTGGAGGTTTTCAGGGAGGTGGTTGTCGTCTGGGTCGCTCTGGTTTCGGCTCGGTTTCAGGTGGGGGAGGCTTCTTACAGCAGGTGAGCTGAACATCTAGCTTCACCGGTGCCTGGTACCATTCTTGCAGCTGATCAGGTACTGCTCGATAGATGCAGGCCTGAGAGAGGTGGTCGTCTAATCCCTCAATGAAGAGATGGATTAGGGATTGCTCAGGCCACCCCTCTATTCGACCTGCTATCTTGCGAAACTCTTGAACGTATTCCAGGGCAGGCCTGCCGGCTTGTTTTATTTTGTGGATTTGTTCTCCTGCTTTGAGGCCAATGGATGGGTCCTCAGATCTTTCTCTCAGCCCTAGGAGGAAGCGGTGGGGGTCCTCCAATTTGGGGGCTTGCTCATTATATACATTGTTCAGTCATTCGGATGCTTCTCCCTCTAGGCTGGACGCAATCATATCAAGGGAGGGGCTGGAGGCCTCTCTCAGCAGAAGTTGCTCTCTGCTTCTCACTTCTAACTCTTCAAATCTTTCTGCCAAATATTCTACTGACCGACTACGAGCTGCAGACGGATATTTCCATTCACCCGAGTCTTCGGTGGCAGACAGCTTGGCAGCTCTCCATCGGTCTGGGGAATGCAATATGTGAGAATCCCTTTGTTGTAGCTCCACCTCATCTGCTTTTGAAGCCCTTGAGGGTGGCAAGGCTGTTTCAAAGTGTCTGGAGTCTCCGCTGGGTTTATCCCAGTCTGACGACCAAATCAGCTCTCCTTGCTGCTTTGGTCTTGCTCCCAGCTGGAAGATCTGCAAGAGTTCCTTCTCCACCAGCTTGCTGGCTGTCGCTCCCCCCACCCCCGGGGAAGCTGCTGCTGCCGGGGTGCTGGCCTCAGGCAGTTTTTCTTCTTCCATAATGAAATCTTCCCGAATCTTCGTCAGCCTATTCCTTTAGTTTAAGAATAGCGACTGGGATTCAGGATGGTTTGAAAAGTTTGTAGATTTTGGCTTGATGTCATGGTTCCAAAGGAAGAAACTCTTCAAAGAACTTTGAGGCATTGTTTACCTTAAAGAACCTTTAATGAGAAAACATAGCTTCGGCACGTACATAGGCAAAGCCAAAATCTGAATTCTCCTCCACTAAACACATAGTCTCTAAGCATAATTCACTCCTTCATTTTACAGTCATTAATCACATTCTCCAATTAGTTTGAAGTGCAAACTTTCCCTCCAGTTGCATAACCCACCATTTCTTATCTCCTCTTATTATAAACAACCTTGAAGAATACTCTGCTGAGATATTGTTATGGCTGACTAATCTCCCTGCACATTCTTCCCCCTCCCCTCCAGCACAATCTAATTCTAAAAGTAACACACAGGTTAAATAGAAAATGTCTGCATCTTTGTATATTGTCAGAGCAAAAACATCCAAAGTTAGCAGCGCTGACAGTGGGATTAATAAATAAACATATAGCATCATGCCATAAAATACAATTAAATAACAGTAAAATGATAAACAAAGTGATAAAAAGAGAATTAGATGTAAAGGGTTGCAGCAAAAGAAAGCCATGGCTGACTTCCAATTTGCCGAGGCAGCCAATATGGACATCTGGAAGGCAAGCTCTGTCTT